TAGCTAGTGCAGCTTCTAACTCTCCTTTGAGATTTGAACTATTTTTCAGCTCAGAAGTATTTATTTTCGTTGTAAACAATAAACTGTGCATTTGGGTGACTGGATGGAGTCGTAAATAAAGAAATTTGGCAGGCTGTATTTGGAACTGTTTTAGCATCGCTCTACTGCAGAACAACAAAAAGGCAGCCCAAAACCCTCAGGTGAATTGAACCAAGATAAAACATTAAACCTTAAAAGGACTACAATGCGTAGCCAAAACTATGCTAGAAACATAACACCGTGTGGGGTGGCTTAAATCAGAAACCAGTTCAGGGGTGGGATTCAGCTGGTTCGGCCCAGTTTGAGTGAACCAGGTGTTAAATTTACATCTGGTTGACCAAACTGATAGTTGAACTGACCGGCTGGCCCCAGCCACCCTGCCCCTCCCCTCCCAGGAGTCTCCACATGGCCCGTTTTGCATGCAGGTAAATGCAGGGGCTGCACAGGGGCTCTAGGAGGGCAAAAAACAGACCTCCTGGAAGTTCCGGATGGCCACGCCCACCACAGCCACGCCCACCACACAGAAAACCATTTGCTGGGATTTTTGAATCCCACCCTCAACCAGTTCCAAGCTGATGGGGTTTCTTTTCACTAGGTATGAGAAGAAAGGGGATGAAGCTTCAGGGAGCAACAGGCCAGTTTACTTCTGCATTTTAGACACTCAATACAGGTAAACTTCAACAGCAAAGAGAAATGTCAGCACTATACCAGAAATATCATTAACATGCTTCTTTTCAGCTTCAAAAGCTTCCATATTAGCCGTTTCTTCCAATGAGGATATCCTTTGTTCATTCCGTTTTTAATGAAAACCCAGACAAGATCATCAAAACTGCCTGGTCTTTTTTTTTCTTCTTAAATTTAATCTGTGCTTAAATACAATTTCAGCACTAACCTGTTCCAAATGAATGATCAAAAGTGCTGCTGGTTCCCCACCCCACTTTGCTTCTGGCCCTAGAATTAGTTATTTCTGCTTGTCATTACTTCTTGTCAACTAATTAAAAGGCAGCTAATGACCAGAGAAAGTATCAGGAAATGACTAATTAAAGAAAGCAAACGAGAATCTCAATTAAATATTTTAATCAAGGAGGGTGGGTAGAGGATAATTCTTAATTACATGGTAGAAAGGCAGAAAAAGAAAGACCACTTCTGAGGAAATGTACATTAACATTATAGAATTGCCAAAGGGACTATATTCTACACCTGTAATTGTAATGCCATCTCAAAATAGAGAAACTGTCTCTGAAATGGAAAAAAAATGGTATTAAGCAAGAATCACTCACAGATTAGCTATTTTCCCATCTTTAACACAGTAAATTAAAGTGAATAGCCTAGAATAGCCAAATTTTTGTGTCAAAAGGCTATTTCTCTTTTTGCTAGTGAAGAAGAATACTATCTAATGTGTGTTCTTAAGTTATGGTAACTAACCACATAAATGTTATAATAATGCTATGGGCTTTAAAAAAAAAAAGAAACACGCATGGAATATGAAAATAAGCAAGGAAGTAGACTTTCTGTGAAGTATTGTAATCTTTAAAGCTCCCCTATCCTGTTTTCTGAGTTTATTAAATGTTTCCCTTTGCGGTGAGAATCAGCAGTGTTTAGTTTGCTAATGCAAAGGACTAAAATTATATGGCAGGCAGAGCGCAGGTCTGTTTTGATATAAACACAAGAGCTAAAGCAAAAATCTTGCATTCCAATACTAAAAATAGGTCTGACAACTCACAATTGGCATACCATATTTTCATCCATCCCAGCCTGTCAGTCGCGGAGTGGGAATTTAGGATTAAAAAGCTTTTTTTCTCAGGCCCTGATCCTGTTGCTCAGAGGCTCCAGGGGCTACTGGATTGCTACAAACTGGGGAAATAGTCTGGGAACGAATCTTCAAGCTTAGATCATGAAAAGATCTGGGCCTGATATGACAAAAAACGTTTATCAAATCCTGTGGCCAAACTGAACAACTGTATTTGCTGCAAAGTATTTGTTCCCCTAAATAGAATGCCAATAGAACCTTCCCATCATTTTCTTCTGGTAATATGGATTAAGTAGTATGCACCATGAACAGAAAAGTTTTATTTGGTATTTTTCTTCTTCTACGTTGGAACAGCTTCTATGGCAGAACGAAATTTCCCATCCAGATGTGACTACAAGGAGGAGCCAAAACCATCAAGATGTCGATCATGACAATGATGATGATGCTATCCATTCGGTTGATATCCAATTCTTGGCGATTCTACAAGCCAGGTCTTCTGATCTTGCACTGCTTCTTTGAGTTTTCCTATGCTCTGGCTGGTGTCAGCTTTGATGGTGATGGCAATCATAATCTCACAATTAAAGCCTTTCTCCCAAATCACCTTTTGCCTTTTGAATCCAGATCTCTGTAGAGTCCTAATAATCAAACTAGCATGTGACAACCTTCTGGAGTCTGCAGAGAGCTGAAAAAGGAACAACTGACCAGATTCATACACTGCAACATACTACTATTACTACTACTACTACTACTACTACTACTACTACTAATAATAATAATAATAATAATAATAACAACAACAACAACAACAACATCAATAAAAACATCCTGGCAGATGCGAAATTATTTCCATGTTATTGCTAACTTAGCTGTTTGGGCTACATCTGTAAAATCATTAGAATTTAGTTTTTTTCTTTATAGCTTTTTTCCTCATTTTTTTCTTTGCTTGTCATTTTTAGTTTTTTTTTTTTCCTTCTTATTTTATTAGATTGCATTGGGTTTTTTTTTTTCTTGTTTAAAACATTGAATAAAGAATTATATAGCTGAGACCCCACTTTGTCCCCAGGGGCATCTTGCTCCCTTCCTTCCCATCTTGTCCATTTTGAATCCATTTTAATGTAACATTTATTGTTTTAATGTTTTATCTTGCTATTTTTATTATTCTAATCTGTGAAGAATTACCTCTAGGTGAGATGGTGGCATATGAGTTTAATAAATAAATACAATATGTATCTTTTTACATAGCTATGTATATCATGAGCTAGGTTCGAAGAAAAGTACTCCTCGACTTATGAGAGTTCATTTAGGGACCATTCAAAGATACAACAGCACTGAACGAAGTGATTTATGACCATTTTTCACACTTATGACCTTTATAGCAGCCCCATGATCATATGATCAAAATCCAGATGCTTGGCCATTGACTCATACTTATGACTATTGCTGTGTCCTAAAGTCATGTGATCACCTTTTGCAACTTTTTGACGAGCAAAATCAAATGGGAAAGCCAGATTCACTTAACAACTGTGGTAGTAACTTATCAATTGCAGTGATTCACTTAACAGTGGTGGCAAGAAAGGTCGTACAATGGGGCAAAACTCACTTTTAACAAATGCCTCACTTAACAACCAAAATGTGGGCCTTAATCGTGGTCATAAGTTGAGAACCACCTGTAGATCTTTTTAGTGCAATTACAACCAGAGAGGTTTAGGCTCTGAAAAACTGGTACGTTGCTCCTGGACTTGGAGGATCCATTCACCTTACAAAATAATTATACTGTCCTGGGAATAAAGTCCCACTTGACTCAATGAAATGCCTGTCCGATAATCATTCAACTATGGGTAGTTTTCTGCTAGGAATCTTGTTTAATGGCCAATTAGCAAACTTTTATCCTCGCATTGCACACTTAACTTGCTTATTATTTTAAATCTTTTTCTGGACAGAGGTTTTTTTTTTTTACTATGAACACACCCAACCCCCCATCTAAACACCATTAGCATTAATCATTGTTGAAGTACAGTGCCAGCATCTTTTAATCATTAGCACTGACCATGTTATCGAGTTAGGGTAATGAAACATCTGCAAGAAAACAAGCAAGCTGAGAGTGCACCAAGCAGCCTTTAATTCAAACTTGACAGCTTTAAGATTTGTGGGCTTCAACTCCCAGAATTCCTCCTCCAGTCATGTGAGTTCAGGAATTCTGGGAGTTGAAATCCACGCAAGTCTTAAAACTTGCCTTGTTATAGCACCCCAGAGGTCCTATGCCAGAGCTGCTCTTTCCTTTATGCCAGAGGTCTCCAAACTTGGCAACTTTGAAGACTTCAACTCCCAGAATTCTTGCTTAGTGGTGCCACTCTGGTCCAAATTATGGTTATAAACTAAGGCAGGGGCCTTCAACCTTGATAGCTTTAAGACTTGTGGACTTCAACTCTCAAAATTTCTCCTCCAGTCATGGAATTCTGGGGGTTGAAATCCACAAGCCTTAAACTTGCTAAGTTTGAAGACCCTTGGCTTAAATGCTTAAATGCAACTCAATACTTCATCTTGACCAATCTTTCTTCCATGAATATATGAACAGAGACTATGAAAGGAGATGGTCCTGTTTCTTCCATCCCACTTTCTGAGAGTTGAAGGCAAGTATTTTCTGAGACCTCTTACACCAGGGCTGTCCAATCTTGGGAATTTTAAGACCCCTGGACTTCAACTCCCAGAATTCCCTAGCCAGCCACGCTAGCTCGGGAATTCTGGGAGTTGAAAGTCCACAAGTCTTAAGCTTGGCAAGTTTTGGAGACTTCTGCTTGAATGGGTTGCTCAAACTTTTCTCGCGAATCCAGCCACTGTGGGAAGCTCCGAAAGTCGTGTTAAAAGACCCGTGTCCAACAGAACGGGAAACTTGACCAACTAACAAGCCAGTTTCGCTTCTTGATTCTCCCTTCTTCTCACATCTTGGGATCAGGGGGGTGGCGAAACCCACCAAACCCAACATCGCGGCGCGGAAGCCGGAAAAAGACACCGAGCCAATTCAGACGACCGGTTGCATTTTCGGCTTAATCCACGCGGGCTGGGAAAGAAGAGGGGCGGGTCTTTGATCTCAGTTCAAACGCTACCCTCCTCCCCAGCCACCCACTCCGGCTTGACGTCCGCAGCCCGAGAGGTTATCTATATATATATAGCCGCGGGACGGTGCAGCGGGCAAGCCGAGTTGCTTCCCAGGCATCGCAGGGAGCGAAAAGGGAAGCAACGGACAACCTTCAAAGCAAAGGGCTCTCCGCTGCTGGAGCATCTCCACACGTCCCGGGTCAGCCAGCCTGCCCGCCCGCCCGGCGGAGAAGTTGTCTGACTTGGGCGCTCGGAGTGGCGCCGGGGATGAATGGCGTGCGGGTAGCCGTGCTGGGCAGCGAAGGGACGGGCAAATCCGGTAGGCTCCGGCGCGGCGCTTCCTGGCCGGTGCGGGGGTGGGTGGGTGGGTGGGGGGTTGCTGGCTACAGAAAGGGAATCGTTAACGTTCCCACGTCCACGCGCGATCGCGGGAATCGCACCTTCTGTCTGAGCGCAATGTAGGCTCTCCTGAACGTACGGAGCTGGTGAGAAATGACAGAAGAAATAACGGAGTTAGTTGGAAGGGACCTTGGAGGTCTTCTAGTCTAGCCCCTTTCTCAGGCAGGAAACCCTACACCCTTTCAGACTATTCTTACAAAAAAAATTCCGAATAATAGAAAAACAGAGTTAGAAAGGGACCTTGGAGGTCTTCTAGTCCAGCCCCTTTCTCAGGCAGGAAACCCTACACCCTTTCAGACAAGTTGTCCAATCCCTTCTTAAAAACTTCCAGTGTTGGAGCATCAACACCTTCTGGTGGCAGGTCGTTCCACCGATTGTTAGGAAAGTTGCTTCTCTCCTTGATTAGCTTCCATCCACTGCTTCTTGTCCTGCCTTCAGGCCCTTTGGAGAATGGGCTGACTCCTTCTTTGTGGCAGTCCCTTAGTCCCCTTTGAGTTGAACTTATCTCCACTCCTGCAAAAATACGGATGGCCACCTGAGGAAGACCGACACTGAAATTCTCTGGTTGTCTGTACCTGTTGCAATAGCCCAGATAGAGTAGCACTTATTCCTGGTAGTCTACATGAAGACTTTTTTAGCAAGCTTATTGAAATTCTTTGCAGGTCCTAATTGTGGGGTGGATTTCCTCACTTCTCGGGCCTATGATTTCCTAGTGGCCTCTCATCCAAGTACTAACCAGTTGAGCATGTTTTTGGAGACACCCAAATCTGCTGCATGTTGACCAACCCCAGTGGCACCTGATGGTAACAAGCCATCCCAAAGTTGATCAGATGTCTTGATGTTGTTTGCTATTACACATGAATAGTAAATTGCCGCCAGGTGTCTGTCTGTGATAGACTCTGGTATTGTTATTTTCATTCAATTGTGTCTGATTCTCAGAGTCTACCTGGATTACCTGCAGATTTTTTGGCAAGGTTTTTCAGAAGGGGTTTGCCATTGCCTCCTTCCTAGGGCTGAGGGAGGGTGACTGGCCCATGGCCCATGGTCTCCCAGCTGGTTTTGTGCCCAAGGTGAAACTGGAATTCAAATTTCCCCATCTCTGCCCTTAACCATTACACCAAACTGGCTCGCGCAGCTACTGGTTACCTGTTGCAAATTTATTTTCCAGCCTTTGAAATACATTCAGCTGATACAGCAAAAGTATTCCGATAATAAGCTCACACCATTTTCTTTTCTTTTTTTAAAAAAATAACTTTTTGGTGTCGCAACTTGCACTTTATTAATTTAGAATGGGATTCCACTTTTTATTTTAAAAATTCCTCCAAATTGAGGTGCAATTCATGAAACCTCTAAGGGATTGCCACAAAGAAGAGGGAGGCAAGCTATTCTCCAAAGCACCTGAAGGCAGGACAAGAAGCAATGGGTGGAAACTAACCAAAGACAGAAGCAACCTAGAACTAAGGAGAAATTTTCTGACAGAACAACTAATCAAATGGAAGGACTTGCCTCCGGAAGTTGCAAATGCTCCAACACTGGAAGTTTTTAAGAAGAGATTGGACAACCCTTTGACTGAAATGGTATAGGTTCTCCTGCTTGAATGGAGGGTTGGACTAGAAGACCTCCAAGGTCCCTTCGAACTCTGTTATTCTGTAAATGTTCTAGGAATAGAAAAAGCATTGACTTTGGCCTCACTCTGTTGCAGTAAAATAAAGCAAATAACATTGAACATCCACTTTTTACTTTTCCAAAACAGTATAAACTATCCATTTCTATAACAACAAATCAACAAATCTCTCTCCCCCCTCACTTTTGTTTCCCCTTTTCCTCCCCTCTGTCTCCTATTAGTTGCTTTCACATTTTTGTATTTTATCTTCGTATTTTATTCTATAATCTATTAAAATGTGAAAATGTTCTAGGAATAGTATCTTACTAAGTATGGTTGTCAGCGTTTCTCCAGGTCTCTCCATTTCACAATTCTTTAATATCTTATTTCGATGCTAGAGTAAAGTTTAAGTAGAGATCATTACTGCATAAATGGTTACATCTTTGACCTGTTTGCCCTTGAAGGGTTACCAGCTGTATCACCAATCTCTTTGCTCTTTTCCAACCTGCTAATCTATTGCATTCCAGTTTTTCTACTGTACAGTAGTTTCTTGAACCTTAATGAGCAAAATTATATTTTCCAGTCTATTATTTCACTGGTATGACACTCCAAAGTATACGATGTGCCCAGCTGGTCAGATGATGTAATTATTGCAAGTGATAAAAATGTACTCAAACGATATACATTTGGATTTAACAAACAATTGGATTTAACAGACATTCCTTTCTCTGGAATGGTCTCTTAAGTTGAAATTTTATCGGAAAATAAGAGTTGTCATAATAGTCTTGGTATTTCCATTCACTCAATCCATAATTCCACTAACCTAGTGATTGAAGCAATGAAATATAGTTTAGAATCAGTGATTATCCATTATCCAATAACAATATCCATTAACAAATCTGGTGCAAAACTGCTTTTTACCTTGGTAAGTGGAAGTTGAAAATATATACTAAAGATCACTTTGTAAGTTATAGTGAGAGAAAAACTGTTAATATCTCAATTATGCATAATGCTAAAGACTATGGTTTATGTTTAGTTTATCACAATGTACAAAGCTATAGATTAGATTATGATGTGATAGGTAAATGAGATTATTATGAGTTATTTGACAAAATGTGGTTAAAATTCAGGATCATTTTTAGGATTTAATTCTAAATTTAGAAGTCCGTTGGGTTTTCACAATCATGCTAAACCAGAATGATGAGTTTTTGGTTTGGACTTAGCAAGATATATGAACAGTCCAGTGTGCTTTGTGCAACATGGTTTAAGTCATAACCCATGTGTAGGGAACCTTGATGGTCTGTTTGATAATGATTATAATAAATTACGGCTCAGAGCAAAACATAAATCTTGTAACAGCCTTCCTTCTAATTTTAGGTTTTACTTCTAAGGTTCTAATTTTGGATGAAATGCAATTCTAGTCTAGTGTAGCTTGTATAAGCCCAAGGCATAACTTGAAGATACACGATGCAACAATCAGATCTGAAATCTAATCCAGGTGAAAGACTGTTTAGGTGTCCTTGCATCATGGAAGATAAGCAAGAGAGATAATCTCAAAAAAAAAAAAAAAAACCAGATGTTCAGCTGGGTATTATTCATAATGGAAAATATAATTCCAGATGGCTATCTTTTTCTGCTTTTCCAGACTTCTTTCCAGTTGTTTCTCTGCAAAATCATGTTAGCAATGGGACTTCAATAGCCACCTTCACACAACTTGTTAGATCACACAGGCTTTTTAATATGGCTGTGGAGGTACTTTTTAAAATCCATATAATAGCAATAGCAATAGCACTTAGACTTATATACCACTTCACAGTGCTTTTACAGCCCTCCCTAAGTGGTTTACAGAATCAGCCTATGGTCCCCAAAAATCTGAGTCCTCCTTTTACTGACCTCGGAAGGATGGAAGGCTGAGTCAACCTTGAGCCGGTCAGGATCAAACTCCTGGCAGTGGGCAGAGTTAGCCGGCAATATTGCATTCTAACCACTGTCCCATCATGGCCATATAAATATAACCACTATTAGTGACTTCCCTATGAAGAATTGTGCTGTGTGAACATGAAGTAATTGCCATTTTCTGCTTGGAATTTGGCACGTCTTCTCCTTCTTTGCCTTTGCCCTTCACAACAGGGATTCAGGAAAAATATGAAGTAGTAGGGAAGACTTGGCCTTCATAGTACAACCCCAATTGGGACTGGAATGTCTGTTGCTAAGAAATGTGGTTGTTAAGTGAGTCGTACCCTATTTTGCCACCTTATCTGCCAGGGTAGTTAAGGGGACCATTGCAATTCTTAAACGAGTCAGGTGGTCTTAAACAAACCTGGATTCTCCCATTGAGTGTCCTTGTTGGAAGCCCCCTGGGAAAGTCTCAAATGGTGATCATGTGATCCTCAGGATGCTGCAGCCTTTGTAAATACATGCTAGTTGTCAAACACTTTCATTTTGATCATGTGGCTGCAGGGATGCTACAAGTAATTCATATAACATCTGGCAGAAAGAACTACCTGACCACTAGATGGCAGCTTTAAAAACTTTCTATATCCCTTTCCTGCCATCTAGCTGTAATACTGATTTTTGCAGTGCAGAAGTGTATAGGACTTTTTCCTTTGTGAAATACACACATACCAGAGGTGCTATTGAGCAGGTTCTGACCAGTTCTGGAGAACTGGTAGCGGAAATTTTGAGTAGTTCAGAGAACCGGCAAATACCACCCCTGACTGGATATTTTACAATATCCTTCCCCTGCCACGCCCACCAAGCCACGCCCACAGAACCAGTAGTAAAAAGGTTTGAATCCCACCACTGACACACACACACACACACACACACACACACACACACACTCATAGTAGCACTCAAAATCCAGGCTTTGCTGTATATGCCTGGGAAGAAAAAAAAGGCAGCATTCTAGAGACCTTTTCTTTGGAAAATCATGCCTTCAAAATTAGAGATAGTGGATAGTTTTAATTGTTGTTTGGGGTTTTTTTCCCCCAAGGGTCAACGTTTTTTCCTTGTCTCTAGTGATTATACATATTATTGAAGTCCAGTTTGGGCTACCCTAATATGCTTGAATAAATAAATCATGGTAAAATAATAGCCAAGTACAGTGTGTGAAGCCAGGGATTGCTCCTGTATTGTTCCTGTTTAGAAAGTCTTCGGTGAAGTAGGAATGGTCGCATTCACATAAATACACCTTAACATTTGAGACTCTATTCATTTCTTCATCTCTGGCGCCAGAAGTTGATTCCTGGTTTACATCTTGGGACCTAAATAAGCCTTGTATTGCACTGGCTAATTAAACTGGGAAACTTAAAACAAATATAAAATTTTCAGAACCGAGGCAAAATAGGAGTAGAAAGATCTGTGTATCTTGTCTGCTGTATATAGGTTGGTAGCCTGACTCATAATCCAGTTATTAGCTGGATATACCTGAGACCAAAAAAGAGGTTAAAATCCAGAGAGATTTTCTTTAGAAAAATGTGTGGCCAAAGCAACACTCCAATGGCCTCTTTATTTTGTCTTTTCAGCCCTTACGGTACGCTTTCTGACGAAGCGTTTCATAGGAGAATATGCCTCCGATTCTGGTAAGCTTCCACTCACTTTGAATCTTCCTTGCATTTTATTTAAACTCAGATGATTCAGATGTTACTGCTGGTAATAGAAGGGGAATGTGTATGTGTCATTTCTTTTGGGCCTGAAGATTAACATTATTTTCTGGTTAAATACCAGATTCAGACAAGGAAGGGGTAGCGATAGATTGATTCATCTTTGTTATATTGCTTTGGGATGTAAAAATGATGGTAGCTCTACCCAGCCTGTTTATTCCTCTCTCTTTTTTCCCCTCTCAGAATGCATTTATACAAAACATTTGTGTCTGGATGGAAAGCAAATTAACTTGGAAATATATGATCCTTGTTCCCAAGTAAGTTGGAAAACTAGAATACGCATAATAAATTCTACTTCCTCCTATTTTTCCTGCAATGGTGGGGTGGAGTGAGAAAAAGTGTTTGGCCCAAAGTCACTCAGCCAGTTTTTGTGCCAAAGGCAAGATTAGAACTCACAGTCTCATTGTGATTGGCTCAAAGTCACTCAGCTGGCTTTCATGCCCTAAGGCAGGACTAGAACTCACTGTCTTCTGGTGATTGGCCCAAGGTTATCCAGCTGGCTTTCATGCCTAAAGAGGGTCAAGAACTCACTGTCTCCTGTTGATTGGCCCCAAAGTCACCCAACTTGCTTCATGACCAAGGTGGGAGTAGAATTCACATTCTGCTGATTGGCCCAAGGTCTTCCAGTTGACTTTCATGCCTAAAACAGGACTAGAAATGGATAGCAGAAGGAATTCAATACCACAGGTAACTGAGAAGGGAGACGTTTTACCCAACAACCTGTGATTATGAATTGTTCCTGAGACCAGCTACTTTTCAAAGTGCCTTTAAGACATTTTTGATTACTCATATGACGATATCTGGGATGATAGTTTGGTTTAGCAAGGCAGAGAACTCAAATAAATTGCAAAATCATTTAAACAGATACAGATTGTGTAATTCAGCTCATGCACAGATTGCACTGTGCTTCTACCAAAGTTGATTTTCTACACTTTGAGAAAATGGCCAGTTGGAGAATTTGATTAGAGTTGATAGGGGCTCTTCACTTAGTTGGTTTTCTAAATAATTGTGGTTTACTCGCCGTCTCTCAGAGCAATCCATTTTACAAGTTCATGATGGGGATAAAACAAATGGAACCATGGAACCAGTAAAACTGTGCATGCCAGCCACTTTATAAAAAGCATGGAATAAAACTTCTGTTAAAAAAATAAGTTCCTGCATAATTACAGTGGGAATATAATATCATTCTGTCCATATAACCCAACACTTTGGAAACCCAAAGAGCTGGATTAAGAAACAGATCCTCCAGGAGAAAATCTGTCTGTGTGGTTGCTAAGTGTTGACACCAAGATGATGGTGGATGATCAGTTGTGTTTTCAATTAGGCTGAAGCAGGGTCTTCTTCCATCCAAAAGCACAGTATAAACTTCTTGTCTTTTTGCCTTCCAGCCTCGGCCAGGGAATTTGTTACTTGCACATGAACTCCAATGGGCAGACGGATTTGTTGTGGTCTATGACATCAGTGATAGAACTTCATTTGTGTTCGCAAAAGCGTTGCTGTACAGGATCCGTGAGTGTCATGGAGGAGCTTGCAAAAGGCAAGTTAGCTAAACAATGTGGCTAGGAAAGTGGAAAGGTTTGCGTGGACCATAAGGGAAAAATGGGGCTAGATTCAGACTTGGTCCCTTTAAGTCAGGAGTGGGGAAACATGGTCCTTTTATGACTTGTGGACTTCGACTCACAGAATTCCTGAGCCAGCATGGTGAAGACCCAATAAAAACCAGGAGCAATGAGTCCAATTGATTGCAAGTACATCTACCCAGTTTGATTCAACCAGTCCCCTTTTTACACACAGACCTACCAAATAGAAATTCTACATAGTTTAAAAACCAGTTTATTAGGGTCAGCTTATCTACAGCCCTGAAACAAGCTACCTCAGAGTAAGTTTTATGGAACCGTGTGACATTTACAACTGTCAGCCAGCTGAAATTCAATCTCTGCTTTTAATTGCAGCGTGGGAAAGAAATTGCTAGTGTGAAAGATGATCCCCATCCAATAAAAGCAACTCTTCAATGACTGGTTATTTTTTGCAACGTTTGTCTTCATATATGTGAATCTGTCACTGTCAATAGTCCAACGTAAAAAGTTTGTGTCGGTTCACTTTCCAGAGAAAATGGCCGGTGGTGGCTCATACTTCACTCTCCTTGCTTTAAAAGCAAACAAAAACACTAAGGATCAATCAGGATTCTAATAGAAACATTTTAAAAATTTGCCCAAACTGTTTCCCAAACAGTTCTTTTGAAAGCACAACAATTCCATTGTGTTAAAAAAATATAGGCTGGTCCTACAGAGAAAGCATCTTATTCTTTGCTGATTTTTAACTTAGGCATTGCATATTGAATATGATATAAATGGAAAACTTTTTTTAAAAAAAGAGGGATATATGAATTACATAGATGAGCTCAACTGGGAATGTGCATCAGTATAAAGACAAAGTTGTGTGTCTCCCTTCTATCAAATAATGTCATCTGAGAGTTGGAAAGCTTCTACTCTATTTGCTATCTCTCTCTCTCTCTCTCTCTCTCTCTCTATCCATGTAACTATCATCTGTCTGTCTATCTATCTATCTATCTATCTACCTACCTATCTACCTACCTATCATCTGTCTATCTATCTATCTCTCTCTCTCTCTCTATCTATCTATCTATCTACCTATCTATCTTTCTATCTATCGATCGATCAATTAATTGATCTACCTACCTACCTACCTATCATCTATCTACCTACCTACCTACCTACCTACCCACCTATTATCTATCTATCTATCTATCTATCTATCTATCTATCTATCTATCCGTCTATCTATCATCTATCTATCTTTCTATCTATCTACCTACCTATCATCTATCTACCTACATATCATCTACCTACCTACCTACCTATTATCTACCTACCTACCTATCTATTTATCATCTATTTATCTATCATCTCTGTCTGTCTATCACCTCTCTCACCTCTATATCTCTCTTTCTGTGTTTCTATCTGTCTGTCTGTCTACATCTATCTATCTATCTATCTATCTATCTATCTATCTATCTATCTATCTATCTATAAGATAGATGATAGACTATCATCTATAAGATATCTATCTATCTATCTTATAAGATAGATGATAGACCTATTTATCTTATCTATCATATCTATCATCTCTATCATCTCTCTCTCTCTCTCTCTCTCCCCCTCCCTCCCTCCCTCCCTCCATCTCTCTCTCCTATCTATTTCTCTCCTTTGTTTGCTCAGAGCTGGATGTTTTCTCATGCTCTGGACTGGGATGTGGGCTGAGCTCAGTTCATGCACAGTTGGTACAAGTTGCTCTGATGCCTTGATTGAAGTATGATAGCCTTTGAATTTGTAAGATTTGAATTGGTATCTTTTCATATATTTACTCTTTCGATGCCCAAGACTGCATTGTACAGCTAGTGCTCAGGTTATGGCCATAATAAAACCTATCTGTCTTGGTTGTGAAACAGCATGGTTGTTAAGTGAACCAGTGATTCACTATAGCTGCAGTTCTGCTGAAAATCACCAGCAAATAACAGTTTTTGGCAAAACCATTGTAAAATACAATCACATAAATATGGCACTTCAAGTTCCTGAAGTGCTGTCATGTGACCAGAGAGATTGTACATACAGGTAGGACCATTGAAACTTTGAACAGTCACTAAATGACTGGCTGTAAGTTGAGAACTACCTGTATAAGATGGTATTTTAATATAAATGACTTAACTAAATAAAAATATATTGCCTCTCATTCAAGTTCCATGTCCAGAGATCTAACATTTCAAACCCCTTAATGGAAAGGACTGATGTTAGCATGAGCTAATCAGAAGAAAGTTCTTTGTTTATAACCTTCCTTTTTCCCAACTTTGTTTGTCCAGAACATCAGAGTGCACCGTGGTTTTGGTTGGGAACAAGCAGGATTTGTGCCACGTACGAGAAGTCGGTTGGGATGAAGGACAGAAGTTGGCCCTGGATTACAGATGCCAGTTTTGTGAACTCTCTGCTGCAGAACAGTGCCAGGAAGTGGGAACGATGTTCAGCCAAGCTTTGAAAAGCCTTGCGGCTCATCCCAAGGGGAAGGAGAAAAGACGGCCCAGTGGCTCAAAATCCATGGCCAAACTGATCAATAACATGTTCGGGAAGAGGAGGAAATCTGTTTAGTGACAGGCCCACCAGAAACGGGCAGGGAGCCAAGACACTGTCTCGTACACATATGCACACACATGCCCAAAGGATCTAGTTCACGTGAAGATCTTAGCATGTCACCCAAGGAAGCCACAGAAATAATTGGTGTATTCCCACCCAGCATGGCAAAAATCATCGCTTAAACCTAGCCTTTTGATAACTCTTCTGGGAATTTAGTTTTTCGTGGAAGCAGATTGATTTTTGAGCATACTAATATATGGTTGTTAAGGAGTGAACTGTGAGTTAATCATTAATCATCTTAAGTGGATCCAGTGGCAGGCAATATGAATAAGGCTTGGAAAACAATGTGGTGTGGTGCCTAGATCAATGTTTCCCATGCTTAGACATTTTAAAGATATTTGGACTTCAACTCCCAGAACACCCCAGCCAGCATTGCAATACATACATCTTATAAATGGCTAAGCATGGGAAACATTATGGTATTGATTTCAGCTATAACAAAATTCTTTTGGTCTGTGGTGAGAGAGAGGCAGTCCACAATTTACATTGGGAAATGATTACCCAAAACATCACCAAGGTCTTTGATGAAGCAGGAGAGAAGGAAAGTCTTGAACTTTTAGCATCTTTTCCAGAAGTGACATTAAACTCATATCAATTTAACTTGTGCTTTCCTAGCTACAGTTCCTTTCCTTAGCTTGGAACAGACTTAGGAGAAGATTAAAATCTGACTGAAATCTTATCAGCTAATTCCTTTTTCCAGCTTTTGGCTGCAATCAACTATGTGGCAGTGTTCCCTTCTAATATATTTAGTGTCCTTTTAACTACTTAAGTGCAGAATCAGGGGCTTCTTGTTAAGTCTGCCCTTACATTAAATATTGCAAAACCAGTGAGAAACTGATGGCTTTTTTTTAAAGGTAAACTGGAGTGGGGGGCGGAACAGGATGTAGCATATTGCTACATAAGTTTGTGGAAAATTTGATCTCCACCTCTTGCTGTTTTTTCCTGCTTGTGGGTAACATGAACACTAGGATGCAAAATGCATTTGGAAATGTGAACACTCTTTCCACTCTCCGAAATATGCAACTCTCAACAGCTGCCCAGAAGAATCCCTTGATAGTGAGATGGGCAGCTTATTAATTTAATCAATAAATAATAAAAATAAAAACTCTGCTCTCTGTGATGACAGCATTCCAAATTATGTCGCTTGAGAAAGTGGGGGTGCAGCTTCAGCACGAACCGGACAAGTATATTTTCAGTTCATTTTCTCTCCTACAGAGGTTCCCCCACTCCATGGTGAAACCAGTCCAGCGATACTTCTTAAGAGTTGTTGATTTCTCGTTATGGGTTTTGGAGTTATTGCTTTTTGCTGAGTAAGCACAGGAGGCTGCAGAGACCAAAGCCATATAATAAGTCATCTGGTTCCCAAGGTATGAATTAACAAGAGGTCTGACACAGAAATTCAAGCAAAGCAAAAAACAAACACTGACATAGTGTACTGGACTGACCTAAGAGGCTCAAGAACAAGTGAGGTTCTAATGCCACTCTATAAAGCCTTAGTAAGACCACACCTAGAGTACTGCATCCAGTTTTGGTCACTATACCATAAAAAAGATGTTGAGACTCTAGAAAAAGCACAGAGAAGGGCAACCAGGATAATGAGGGGACTGGAGACTAAAACGTACGATGAATGGTGACAGGAACTGGGCTCGTCTACTGAAGAGAAGGACCTGGGGAGACATGATAGAAGTGTTCCAATATTTGAGGGGCTGCCACAGAGAGGAAGGGGTCAAGCTATTTTCCAAGGCACCTGAAGGCCAGACAAGGAATAAGGGATGGAAACTGAACAAGGAGAGATTCAACTAGAAATAAGGAGAGCTTTTCTGACAGTGAGAACCATCAACCAATGGAACAGCTTTGCCTTCAGAAGTTCTGGGAGCTCCATCACTGGAGACTTTCAGGAAGAGATTAGACTGCCATTTGTCAGAAATGATGTAGGGTCTCCTGCTTGGGCGGGGGCTTGGACTAGTTTACCTAGAAGGTCCCTTCCAACTCTGTTAATCTGTTGCACTGCTAAAGAGGAAACAAATAACACAAATTTGATAAACATTGGTGTCATATAGGAAGGTGAATGAGCAGGATGCTGCAGTGCTTGTAGCATCTTCTTGCCTGGGGAAAAAAGTAACCTATTTGTAGAATAGAATAGAATAGAATAGAATAGAATAGAATAGAATAGAATAGAATAGAACAGAACAGAACAGAACAGAATAGAATAGAATAGAATAGAATAGAATAGAATAGAATAGAATAGAATAGAATAGAATAGAATTCTTCATTGGCCAAGTGTGATTGGACATACAAGGAATTGGTCTTGGTGCATATGCTCTCAGTGTACATAAAAGAAAAGATACATCCGCCAAGAATCAGTAGGATAAAGTACAGTGAGGGATTTACATTATTTTTCATCCTGACTGTTATTAAGACCGTCCTCATTCCTCTGTGCTGGAAATATTCAATATCACTGATAATGTCAACGTCACCATTTGGAAGTAGTTTGTTATACAGTGATGTTACCTTGCGTATTTGACACCAAAAGTAGGTCAGAGGGATATGCAGCTGCCACATGATTCAAGCTGCCCTGGCTAAACCACCATTAGTCCACCCTGCTTCATCTCTGTCACTGACAGAAGGTCGTGCCCTAGCAGAAGTGACCCAACTCTACACCCACTAGATAGACTCTTCACCTTACTACCTATTCTCAAAGTGTATCACTCCCAACACACCACCTTTAGCATGCTACCATTGCTATGGTCTTCTTCCAAGAGCTGAAAGAGATGGATTGGTCCAAAGTCACCCAACTGGCTTCCTTCTTGACTAAGGAAAACTAAAACGTACAGTCCCCCAGTTTCTACTTTTGTGACTTTAACCCAGGGGTCTTCAAACTCAACAGCTTTAAGACTTGTGGACTTCAACTCCCTGAATACCTCCTCCAGTCATGCTAGCTCAGGAATCCTGGGAATTGAAGTCCACAAGTCTTAAACTTGCCAAGTTTGGAGACCCTTGGAATAGATAGATAGATAGATAGATAGATAGATAGATAGATAGATAGATAGATAGATAGATAGATAGATACAGATTAGTGTTATGTCTCCTCTTGGAGATTCAAACGAACAAACACAAAGCAGCCGTTTCACAATCAAATCAAACTGAAGGAAAATAACTAGATAACGACTGGCAGAAACGGTTAGAACTCCTCTTCAAAATTCAAACAAACAGAGATCTCTTTGCAGAAACGTCCTCATTCAAAATAGTCATTTTGTTTCTGGCAAAAGGCACTAGCTCAGCTGTGTCCTTTTATACCCATTAAGGCAACGTACTAATTAACTGGCTTGCCCTTCAGATTAACGTTTCCTGGTTCTGACGTCAATCCACGATCTAACAGTCATCAGATTCAAAACTCTTAACAGGACCGATCCTTTCAATCACAACACTATCCCCCACCGCAGGGCCCTTCCCCCGAGTCTGATGATTAACTCGACGATGTTTCGTTGACAACCCCACTCTTTCTCCCACAGCCAATGGAGGTGTCGCTCGTTCCAATTGTCTCAGGTGGTCTACACATTGGAGACTTGGAAAAGAAATACCGTTCTGCGACCAAGCCACCAACGGATTGTGCAAACGCAACCAGGACATTCCGAGCACCAAAGGGAGATGAAGGTTCGAGGTGATATAAAAACTTATCACCTCCTCATGATCCCCAATGATCATACGCACTGGCTGGGTGGCAAAACGAATGGGCCCAGACTTGAGCTCACGCCCATCCACGGTTTCCACCTTAATGGGTGGATGTACAGCAACCAATGGGATCCCATAGTGCTTAGCAAAAACTCGGTCCATAAAGCTGGTTGTAGCCCCTGAGTCCACCAACGCAACAGCGGGAATTCCCTCCTTCTGTGACTGTAGGAAAATTCGAGTGTCCAAAAGTAAATGCCGAGGAGGGCCAGGATTTACTTCAGCAATTTGAGGTGGGGATGTGAAATGTGTCCGACCTAGGGTTTCCTTGAGATCAGGTCTACCCTGTTTTCCTGACGAGACAAGAGTGGTTTCAGGTACGGATCTGCGGGTCCCTCTCCGTTTGCAGGAATTAACAAAATGTCCCAGACCCCCGCAATAAAGGCACAAGCCTTCCTGGAACTTTCTCGATCGTTCTCGTGCCGTTAAGTGAGGGCGGAGTGCGCCTAACTCCATCGGCTCCTCAACATTAACCGTGGGTTGGAAAACTCTCGGTGGCGTGGGATGTGCACGAGAAAACGAAGATGATTCCATACCGAGCCGTTTGCGTCCACGTTGCTGTAAACGAGCTTCAATTCGTAAGCACTGAACTATCAATGCATCCAAAGTTAAAGCCCTCTCTGCATGGACCAGCCCATCTTTGATGGCATCAGACAAACCTTCCTGGAATGCAGCCATATGAGCCGGTTCATTCCAATTGGAGTCCAAACACAGCAAACGAAATTCTGCAACGTAATCCTGCAGGGAACGTTTCCCCTGATTTATATCCCACAAACGTCTGTCCACAGTTTGTATCTTAATTGGGTTCTCAAACATCACTTTCATTTGCTGAAGAAAACCCTGGAAATCATTCAACAACGGGCTATCTTGAACTAACAAAGGAGTAGCCCAATTAGCAGCCTGCCCAGATAAAAGGCTAAGAATGAATCCTGTCTTGGCCCAATCATTTGGAAAGTTTTCAGGCCTCAAGGACATAAATAATTGACACTGACCCAGAAAATCCGGAAACATGTCCGTTTGCCCAGAAAATTTCTCCGGCATGGATACTGGGCTTTTCCTCACAGGAGGGGCAGGAGGAACAGCAGCAGGGCTTGGTAAGCTGGAAACATAATTCAGCAATTGTGTTACCTGATTCTGAAGCATCACATTGCTTTGCAGTAGCTGATTAATTTGTTGTTGCTGTTGCTCTACCAAACGCTGCAGTTGATTTAAATCCATCTTGCTTGAAAGATGGTTTGTTTAGGCCAGAAACAATAATGTTATGTCTCCTCTTGGAGATTCAAACGAACAAACACAAAGCAGCCGTTTCACAATCAAATCAAACTGAAGGAAAATAACTAGATAATGACTGGCAGAAACGTTTAGAACTCCTCTTCAAAATTCAAACAAACAGAGATCTCTTTGCAGAAACGTCCTCATTCAAAATAGTCATTTTGTTTCTGGCAAAAGGCACTAGCTCAGCTGTGTCCTTTTATACCCATTAAAGCAACGTGCTAATTAACTGGCTTGCCCTTCAGATTAACGTTTCCTGGTTCTGACGTCAATCCATGATCTAACAGTCATCAGATTCAAAACTCTTAACAGGACCGATCCTTTCAATCACAACAGATTAGATAGATGCTAGCTGGATGCCAGAACTAGGAGAAGATTGAGATGTCAATCTCAATTAGAAAAGAGACGTCCAGCAAAGGATTAATTAATGAGACTAACACGCCCTTTCTTAGAGGATATAAGGGAGCGCATGACTGTGAGATATTTGCTGGAAAACAAAATGAATCTTGCCTGGGAAAGACTTGCATTTGATTTACTGCGTTGTGAGCTAGACAGAATTGCCGGACAGATTCTAGGAGGATTGCCAAAGGACTGTGATAACAGAGCAATTAATCTCCTGACTCCAGTTTTGTTTACGTAAAGTATTTGAACTATATTACTCGAAGTTTCATCTGTGGATACAGGTGGAACAGAACAGATAGATAGATAGATAGATAGATAGATAGATAGATAGATAGATAGATAGATAGATAGATAGATAGATAGATACTGTAGATCAGGGGGTCTTCAAACTTGACAATTTTTAGACTTGTGGACTTCAACTCCCAGAATTTCCTCCAGTCATGCTAGCTCAGGAGTCCTGGGAGTTGAAGTCCACAAGTCTTAAACTTGCCAAGTTTGAAGACCCTTGCTTTAACCCCTACACAAAGCAGAGTCTCGCTGCTTAAGAACATACAATTAATGTTGACAATTTTATGTCTGCTGGTGGGAGGGGATGTCAAACCAAAGTTTTAAAACAAACTTTATTTTAAAATAATAATAATAAAACTAGCATAGAGGTATCCACTGTTTCTTATTTCTAAAAGGAGTAAAGCAAATGTTTGCCTCCTGTCTTGAAGTTAACAAAAGCCTCTTATTCCTGGAAGAAGTAAAAGAGACTTTAGCCATATGATGATTGCATCCCAAGGCAGTAAT